TGTGTGTGTGTGTGTGTGTGTGTGTGTGTGTGTGTGTGTGTGTGTGTGTGTGTGTGTGTGTGTGTGTGTGTGTGTGTGTGCATGTGTATGTGTGCTCATGTGGGTTGTTGTCACCCCAGAAGGCAATGGTCAGCATAGCTAACAAGGGATGGGATTGACTGCAGAAGTGAAGGAGCTATGGCAGCTTTGGCTTTGCAGAGATCGTTGACATCGCGTACACTATCGTCATTGTCATAAAGAGAGGGAAATCAGCCACAGTGCAATCAGCCCCATCACCATGATGCAAAGACGCTCAGCAACGGGCATTTGCCTCACTCTCAACCAGCTTGTTTACCTTCACTGGGTGTTCATTTTTTTCATTCTTGGGCCGTTGCTTGAGCACGCCTTTGTTCATGCTCAAGCGGACCTGCGTGGAAGGTATTCAAACCCGTCAGGTGTGTTTTCAGAAAGACCCTGAACTTACTCTCCCGTTCTTCTTCTTCTTCTTCTTCTTCTTCTTCTTCTTCTTCTTCTTCTTCTTCTTCTTCTTCTTCTATTTCTGCTGCTTCTTCTTCTTCTTCTTCTTTCCTCTTTGCCTTTCGTATGCTCTTCTTTCTATTCTACTTCCCCTTCTTCCTCTTCTTCTTGCTCTTCTGCTTCCATTACTTCCTCGGCTTCTTCCACTACTTCCTCTTCTTCTTTGCCCACTTCCTCTTTTTCTTCCCTTCCTACCCCTTCTTCTTCCCCTTCTTCTTCCACTTCTCCTTCCACTTCTTCTTCTTCTTCTTCTTCTTCTTCTTCCGTCTCCTTCCTCCCCCCCTCCTCCCTCGTTCCTCCTTCCTCCTTCCTCCTTCCCCCTTCCTCCCTCCTCCTTCGTTCTTCCTTCCTCCCTCCTTCCATCTTCCTCCTTCCTCCCTCCTCCCTCCTCCTTCCTCCTCCTCCTTAAGTTGCTGCTTCTGCTGCTGCTCATTCTTCTTTTCCTTGTCTTCCTCCTCCGGCCCTCTCTATCTCTGTGGTTTGCTCTTTCTGTTCCCCCCAACCCCATTCTTTCTATGTTGTTCACGCCCGAGTCACAACAGTAGAAAGTACTAGAAACTCAAAAGACACAAGCCTACCAGATTGTTGCTTTCCTGTGGCTTTGGAGAGGGAGAATGATCCGAGGCTTGGGGCAGCCACTCCATTACGATGCCGACTTTTGGATATTAGAAATTTGAGATTGGCGTTGCAAATTTCACGCACTGACCAAAATGTTGTCCGAAGTATACTGGACAAGGTATCACGGTTACACCTTTTCTCATTTTGGTTGCCTGGTTGATGTGTGTCCTTTGTTTGGCTTTTCATCTTGAACCAGTGCGCTGCAGATCTCCCTCTCTCGGAACAGTCTATGTTGATAGCCGCTCCAAAGGTTCGAAGTGCTGTGGGGAGAGCAGCCACCCCTGCGGTGAGTGAGTTGCTCCCTCTCTCGTTTCCTTGCACATCTGCTCTCGTATCTGAGGAGCTAAGCGGGGGAAGGATGACGATAAACCCTTGAATCGAAAATGAGGAGAGGATTCACAGGAAACCACAAGGGGGTGCCCAATCCATGTCAACACTGGATGCTCTTCCGACCATTGCATGCAGACGTACACACTCCACATGCCTTAACCATTCTAGTGTGGCTTGGGGTGGGGCTGAGAGGGGTGGGGCTGCGGAGGGGTGGGATCGGGTAGGGCGGGACCGCGGTGGGGCTGCAGTGGGGTGGGGTAGGGTAGGGTGGGACCACGGAGGGGGACGAATTGTTGG